AGGTAAGAGATAGGGAATCAAGGATGGGGGGGGTGGAGCAAAACATACAGAAAACAAGAAATGGAAGATCATTTGCTGACAATAACTTGTTTGTTGATGTGCTTGATTGAGACAATATACAGTATACTCTGGATGGAAAATCTCATTTTGTATGCTGTAATGATGTACAGTGAATGAATGCAAATAAATAAACTGAAATTTAATAAAAGAAAAAAAAAAACAGGTGAGCTTTCACTCCACCTCAAAATGTTTCCATCTTTACCTTTCCTCTTATCTTTTGTTTTTGCAGAAAGAAATGCCCTCCCTACCAATGCTTAACCCCCACATGGTACTTGTGCTCATACTGTCGTCTCCTAAGAATTTTAAACATCTGATCTTTTGTCTTTCCCGTACTGGGTTCCTACACTTGGCCTCCAAACAAGCCCTGTGCCCCAATAACCTAATTGACCTTCTATCCTACTATTTACCCATAGGTTAAATTTGCAAAAGAATTATTTATACTTATAACCTCCACTCTTTTCACCCCTACTAGTTCATTACAATCTATCTGCCCCTCAGTCACAGTATTAAAAATGTTTACCAAAGACGACCAATGACCTCCTAGTCACCAAATCCAACCCTCTTTTTCCAGTCTCTTCCTTTAACTACCTATCGTGTTTCAGTGTTTTGTTATCCTCTTTTTTAAAAATTATTTATTTACTTCTATTCATTCATTCATTTTATTTTTATTTGACCAGAGAGAGACACAGAGAGAAAGAGAAGGAAAGTGAGAAAGCAAGCCACCAGGTCCAGGACTCGAACCGTGGTGTCAGCCATGTGGGAGTGTCCAGCGTCTTAACCACCACGCCACCTGCTGGTCCCTTATCCTCTTCTTTGAGAAAGTCCTCCTTCACCTTCTATGGTACTCTTTTTAATCTCCTTCTACATCATTTATTAATTATAAAACACTGCCATCTGCACTTCCTCAAGGTTTTGTCTCATCCCTCTACCTTCCTGTTCTCTTTGGATAAGCCACATCACCTTTCTAGAATCAACTTTCATATCATTGCCCTGGTCATGAAACTCAAGTTGCCAATACCCTGTCCAATATAGCCACATTCAGTATGATTATCCTACTAAGGCTCAATAAGGACATCTAAGTAATATTTTAAGCTCTGTTTGTCTAATATTTTCTCTGACTCTCCCACTGACTGCTCACCAAAAGCTTAAAATCCCAAATTACCTCAATTACTTTTTTTTTTTTTATTCAAGCCTACTAGGATACAGTTCCATACCTGATAGTTAAGGAAGGTGGATTCTACATGGTCAATTGTACAGTAAGTCCTGGCCCTGGAAGCTTGAAAAACACACTAGGCAAGTATGCCATGTGTGACCAAGATCCTGACAGGATGGAGAAATGGATAAGGGATTTGCAGTGTTGACCATACCCACGGGGGAGATGCTTTCTCCCTCTGCCTCTCTCTCTCTGATAAGCACATGTGTCATCTGACAAAAAAAAAAAAAAAAAAATTCAAGCCTACTGGGGCCAGTAGGTAGCATAGCAGTAATATCAGTGGACTCCCAAATGGCCGACCATGGCTCAAGTCCCAGATCCGGTGGCTTAAAAATCACCAGGCACGTGTGCATGTGTGCCTAAGATCCTAGGAGGAGAATGGAGGAGAAGGGATTGTGTCATGGCCATCTCCCTTTGGGTGATTTCTCACTTTCCCTCTCACTGTCTGTCTGTCTCTGTCTCTCTCACTTTCTGGCCAGTGCACATAAAACCTCTCAGGAAAAAAAAAAAAAAATTCAAGCCTACTGGAGCTATCCTATAGTACAGTGGTTGAATGCTGTGCAGAGTAAGCTGGATCCCACAGCACTAACTGAGGTTCAAGTCCCAGTCCCAGCGACAACCCACCAGGCATGCACGGGTGTGTACATAGAATCTTAACAGGATGGAAAGGTGGAGGAAAAGGGACGGCGGCGTGACAAAGCCCTGTTGGGGGGGTTCTCTCTCACTCTCTCTCTCTCCACACATGCATAGGTGCTCTCTCACTCTCTCTCTCTTAACACATATGTGTATCCTCTGACATTAAAATTAAAAAAAAAAAATCAAGCCTACAGAAAAGTTAAGAAAGAAATATGATAAGACCCACCTATCATATACTTAAATTCACTATTAATATTTCACATTTGCTTAGTTTCTATTTTTCCTTTTCTCTTTTTTGTTTTTGTTTAATTATTTCTGTAAGTTCAAAACATTGTAACATTTTACCCCTGAATTCATCAGGATCTACCTCCTAGGATAAAGGATGATCTATTTAATCACAACACCATTAATTGACATATAGTCTATATTCAAATATCACTAATCATCCCAATTATGTTTCTTCTAGCTATTATCTCCCTCTTATCCAATCAGAATTCAGAATTGTGTGTGTGCGCGCGTGCGTGCATGCGTTTGTGTGTTTGTATGGCTGTCATGTCTTGAAGTAATAAGCTTTCCCGCAACTTCTATCAAGTTCCATCAAGTCTACTGGAGGAGTCCGACCCGGTGAGGCCCCAGGATCTGTCTGAGCCCCCAGACCTTTGAGCTCCGCTTCTGGTCGGATCAACACGTTGGCAAGGCTACTGTTGTGCACCCCCCGACCTTGGAACAAAGCTTGGGTCAGTTAGCATGTCAGCAAGGCTGCTTGCTATTTGCTCCAGAGAATTGAGGCAGCCTCACTGGGAAACGACCCCCCTCTGACTCCCCAATTTACTACTATGAAAGAATTGCATAGCTCTCCTATACATCCTGAGTATATGATAAAATCTTCCAGGAAGTCCCCCAACCGACAGCTCCCCTTTGCTCTGATCACTTACTATTAATTACAATGCTTTATCTCCATGGTCACAATAGAGGGTGGGCTGAAGTTCTTTCTAGGCAGAAGTAATCTTGACCTTTGGAAGGCCCTTAAATTCTTCCTTTCTTTATGTACAATAGGATTAGGCCAAAACTGGCCCAGGACACCTCTGCCCTCTCCAAGTGAAATAGATAAATGTATTAGGACTCCTCAAATTAAGTTTTAGATCCCTACAAAACTGTGTATAAGTATCATTCTTTATTAAGATCCATAAAAACTAATATCTATTCTTGAGATTTTCTTTTCTCAGCACCATTCTCAGTAATCACAAGATGGCTCCTGCGCCGCATCTGCTGATAATTGAAACGCGTAGCCCCTCTCCCATTTACTTGTATGTAACACATTTTCAATAAAAAGGCACGATTATTCCTAGCAGTTGTCACTCCTCAGAGGGCGACCTCTGAGGGGTGTCCGGCATAGGACGTGCAAGAAAGGCATCGAGGCCTCTGTCTTCTGTTCACCTTCGCTGCCTTCGTCGAGATAACCCACCCACGCCGAGGCTAGACCCCGGCAGTCTACTTTTGTTTTTTTTAGATTGGTGTGTGTTTGTTTGGTTTGTTTGGTCACAAGGGGCATGTGCTTGCCAGAGAGCGCTAGAAAGAGGAAAATAAGAAATCACCTCCCGGGACCAGCAGTTGGCGTAATGGCTATGTCGCTGGACTCCCATGTAGTCGACCGCAGTTCGAGTCCCGGACCCAGTGGCTTAAACTCACGCGGGGCGCATGTGCGTGCGTGCCCAAGATCCCGAGAAGAGAATGGAGGAGAAAGGATTGTGGCGTGGCCACCCCCCCTCGGGGGTGATTTCCTGCTTTCTGTCTCTCTGTCTGTCGGGCGAGCACACGCGCCCTATAGCAAAAACCTCTCCAAAAAAAAGAAAAAGAAGAAGAAATCACCTCCCAGGAGAGATGGCCACATCCCAATCATTTCTCTTCATTCTCCCACTGGGATTTTGGGCATACATGCACACAAACCTGGCATGGTTTTCAAGCCAACAGGTCCAGGATCCAAATCATGGAGTTGGCCTTTTGGGATCCAGCACCTTAACCACCATGCCATCTGCCAGCCCTCAAATCTACTTTTGAAATGTCTCCCAAATCCATCCTTTAACCAGTTTGCTTTCACTTCCTTGTATTTGAATTATTTTCATAAATAGTTTCAGTCTACTGACTACTCCCAGTTATTATTAAGATTCAATATACTATCCAAGACTCAAATTTCCCACTGTCCAAAAACCTTCAATGACTCTCCAGTACTTACGAAATAAAAACTCAACTTCGCAGTCTTCAACCTGGCATTCAAGATCTTCCACAATTTGATTACATAATATAATTCCAGTTTTGTTCTATTATTTGTCTCTGTATGTACTCTATTATCTTAACCCATACTATTTTCTTCCTAGAATTCGTCTCCTTACACAATTTCTACTTACTTAATAATAACCATTCTTTTAACTAAACATCCCTTTTTTCTGAGCTCTTTTATGACCATGTTCCCTGTCTCCTGTTGCTATCATGTGACCACTTCCCCTCTTCCTCTTATAATCTCTATAATATTTTGTATCTTTTTAAAGACATATATCCAGTTCTGCTTCTAACTTACTTAGATGTGTATCTTCTCTCTAATAATAGACTACAAACTCTACAAAGGCAGGAATGACAAACTGTGTACACTGAAACATCCATTCAGAATCCTGCATAAATCTGACACTTGACAGATGCTGACATAGCCAGAGGTAGGACCTCTACCAAATTAAAATACATCGATAATGATTTGCAGGCTTCCAACTTCTCCTTCTCAACTACAATCTCTGGCCTCTCCGCGCATACTGTGGTTCACAGTCTAGCATTAAACTTGAATCATCACTTCCTAACTTATCTTATATATACTTTATTGCTTTTTTCCTCAAGGGTATGGTGCTAAACTTGAAATATGAAGAGGTTCTATTTGACAGGATGACTTTTTTATTTTGTATGGAGCCAATACTAATTCTATTTTCTACTCTTATTTACTTCATCACATATTTACTAAATACATAGAAAATATGTGGCTGTTATTAAAATAACAAACTAAAAATATTCAAAGAAATAGTTTTCAAGAACTGCTATTTACACTTACCTGCCCCCAGGCATACATATTATTATGGGTCTGTGAAGGGTTGACTTTTGAAAGCAGGAAACGGGCCTTAAAAGCAAAGAAAAAAAATATTATCCATCAAAAACAGATCCAGTCAACATAAGGTGAATAACATTATCCATCAAAAATAGATTCAGTCAATATAAGGCTTAAAGTTAATTTTATTAAAATGTAACTTTTAAAAAGATTAACTAAATTTTGAAATGTTTAGACCACTGTTATAAATAATAAATGCAACCTCTTCTCTCCAAATCATTTATACATAATTAATACTGGGTCATCAGAAAAATCATGACACATTTTTGCACAGAAAAATACATCATAACTTTCCTGGCAACCCAATAAATTGCTGAGTCCCACATAAAAGCTCTATGTACAACAATTATGATAAGGTTAGTTTGAAATTACTAACTTCTGAAAGGTCAGAAGTTTGACGCTTCAAATAATAATGAAAATAAAAACCATAAAAAACTATGTATTTCTTCACTTTAAACAATGACTTTCAAACGGCTTTAAACTGCAAGTGACAAATACTCAGCATTTTACCCATCTACCCGTTACAGCTCATCACTGTGAAAATAATCAAAAGAGAAGAAGAAAACAGAATACATGTGGTGAGACACCATGAGAGAACCAATCATAAATTTTCAGTTCATACTAGAAGAACACAGTCAGTCACATTTTTGACATTTAGTATATACATAATATCTGCTTTTATATTTTAACGGGTATGTGTGCTCACCAAAGACAATGAGAGAGAGGCAGATAGCACCCTCTGATAGGGCACAGTCATGCTGCAATCCCCTTTCTTCTATTTCTCCATCATGTCAGGATTTAGGGAATATATACACATGCACCTGGTGTGTTCCTAAAACCACCAGCTAAGTGGGATCTGGCTCCCTTAACCGGAAGGCTATGGGGCTGGCCCCACACAAAATCATTTTCTACTCTCAAAGTAATCAGTTCAACACAGTGAAGATACTGGCCCTGGAGTCAGAACAACAATATTCAAATCCCAACTCCTCCATTTACTGTGTTTCCTTGGATACAAATAAGCTAAGCTTTCGTTATATTACCTGTAAGATGGAGTTAACAGTATTCTTATGAGAATCAAATGAGATAAAGAAAGTAAAGTGCTTTGAAGTTTCAATAAATGAAGCTCCCACTCTAAATATAAAAAATTCTAATGGTAAGTGCTATCATTTCTAAATAATAGTTACTAACACTTCCTACCTATTTTGTAATACTGTGCTAGGTACTGGGAATATAGCAATAAACAAAGTATGGTTCCTGTCTTCAAGGATCAAGTGAAACAAACTTATTAACAACCTATACAGTTGACCTGTGTGAGGGGGCACCCCCTACATACTCAAAAATCCAGGGACCAGCAGTTAGCTTAATGGCTATGTCTCTGGACTCCCACGTAGTCGACCGCGGTTTAAGTCCCGGATCCGGCGGCTTAAAACTCACATTGGGCACGTGTGCGTGTGTGCCCAAGATCCCAAGAGGAGAATGGAGGAGAAGGGATTGTGGCATGGCCATCCCCCCAGGGGGGTGATTTCTCGCTTTCTGTCTCTCTCTGTCTGGCGAGCGCACACACTCCATAGCAAAAACCTCTCCAAAAAGAAAAAGAAAAAAAGAAAAAAAAATCCACATGGAAGTGGACCCACATAGGCAAGCCCATGTTGTTCAGGATCAGTTAAAATTAAGTCATTATAAGTCTGATAAAAATTACAAGGGAAAAGTAACCACTGTTTTATGAGTTTATATTTAGGGACCCTAACCTAGCCTTCTGCGGGCCTCAAAAAGGATATCTCGTATCTACATATATCATATGTAATCCTTATAATTCAAAAAACCACACCTTTCATAATATCACAAATTCCTATTTAACGACTTATTTTCTAGAAAATTGGAATGATAAAATGAAGAAAATGGGAAAATGCAAGTTATCACAGTCATAGACTAAATTAATTCTCAAGCTTTTCATATCTTCTTGCTCAGCTGAAACTGACATATCACCACAATGCCATCCTGCCTGTTATGAAAGCTAGGCTGGGGACAGAAGATGAGGGAAGCTACCAGCTTTAGGCAACTACATAATCATTGTATTGCTTTGCTCTCAAGCTAAAGGAAGAAACAAATACTGGATTCCTTCCCCTCCCTAGCTTTTCTGTTTGACTTATGAAGCAGTCTGTACAAATTAAAAGCCAGAGAACAGGAACCAGCAGATGGCATAATGGTTATGTTGTTGGACTCCCACTTAGTCGACCTTGATTTGCGTCCTGGACTCAGTGGCTTGGAACTCACACTGGTGCGTGTGCACGCATGCCTAAAATCCCGAAAGGAGAGTGGAGGAAAAGGGATTGTGGCGTGGTCATCCCCTGAGGCAGATTGCTTGCTTTCTGTCTCTGGCAAGTGCACGTGTCCTATAGCAAAATCTCTCTAAAAGAAAAATAAAAAGCCAGAGGACAAGTAACCAAACAAAGACTACTTACCTGACTGCCCCCATGTTCAGTGTCGATATACCTTGGCATTGGAAATCTGGAGTGAAGAATCTCCTGTGCATCATCCACTGGGGCTTGCAAAAGGTGGCGGAAATTTTCATACTCTGGCATATCCTGATATCCTGATTTCCGCCACTGTGCTATCGTCTAATTTTAAAATAATTAAAGAGATGATGAATATGCTAATAACCTTAATTTAATTATCATACACTGCATGCATGCTCTGGTACCCCACAAAGATGTAGGTAAGTATAAAATAAAATTTAAACAATAATAATAAACGAATTATTTTTAAATCTCTTACCCATCCAAAAATCTTTTTTTAGAGTGGCATGGTGGTTAAGGCAGCTAGATCCCACATGGCCGACCACCAAGCTAACTGCTGGCCCCAAGTCAGAACATTTGTCAAAGAGAAACTTATCAAATCAATGTTAGCTAAAAGCTATCTATATACCTTTATGATATGTGAGGGAAATTTCTGTTATATATCTCCCGGAGACTTTGAAATTAATGGATTGCTATTATGAAGTCTCACCAATAGAGTTATATGCTGGCAACACATAAAAACCTTAATAATAATAGTATTAACATTATAAAGATAGGGTCAGCAGGTGGCATGGTGGTTAAGGCGGCTGGAATCCCACATGGCTGACCACAGTTCAAGTCCAGGACCTGGCAGCTTGCTTTCTCACTTTCCTTCTCTCTCTTTGTCTCTCTCTGGTCAAATTAAAAATAAAATAAAGTAAAATAAAATAAATGAATAAAATTTAAAAAAACATTACTTTAAAAAAATTATAAAGACAATACACCTATAGAAAAGCAACTGAATTAATAAATAAAAATAAAGGAACAGTCATCAGCCCTTCTGACTTCTTTAAGCATATTAACAATAAGCTATCAGGATGTCGGGAGAGTGTTTTTCTATGTAAAAATGCATTATGTCTTTCTTGACAACCCAATATTTAAAGAAGCAAAAATTTCCATGAAAACAAAGAAATTTAAAAAAAAGTCTTTCAACATTATAGGTATAATTCTCATAAATATGTAAAGGGCATTAGAATCTGGTATCAACTTAAAATAATTTAAAAATAACAGTAAAATTAATCTAGTAAGTGATCCAGTGGTTAACACGCTAGACTCCCACATGGCTGACTATGGTTTGAGTCTTAGACCTGGTGGCTTAATGATCACTCTGGCACATGTGCATGTATGCCCGCAATCCTGAGAGGAGAATGGAGGAGAAGAGACTAGGTGTGAACATTCTCCCAGGGGATGATTTCTCACTTTCCCTCTCTCTGTCTGTCTCTAGTGAGTGCATGTTCCCTATGGTAAAAACCTAAAAAAGAAAATAAAAATAAAATATATAAATTAGCCTTATACAAGTCCTAGATGTATTATTTAACAGGCTATCTTGAGTAAAATGTGTACTATTAGAGTATAAATCTGAACTCACTTAAGACTGACATAACTAGGGAACCAGCAGTTAGCATAATGTCGCTGGACTCCCACATAGTCGACCAGGGTTCACATCCCAGACCCGGTGGCTTAAAGCTCACGCCGGGCGCGTGTGTGTGCGTGCTCAAGATCCCGAGAGGAGAATGGAGGAGAAGGGATTGTGGCATGACCATCCCCCCTGGGGGGTGATTTCTCGCTTTCTGTCTCTGTGTCTCTGTCTGTCTGGCGAGCACACGCGCCCTCTAGCGAAAAAAAATAAAAAAATAAAAAAACCTCTCCAAAAAAAAAGATTGACATAACTAGAAAAATAAATTTGTAGTGGCCAGCAGGTGGTGTAGTGGTTGAGGCACTGGACTCCCACATGGCTTACTGCAGTTTGAGTCCCAGACTCAGAGACCTGAAATTCACACCAACAGTGCATGCCCAAAATCCTAGGAGGAGAATGGAGGAGAAGGAAATGAGGCATGGCCATTCCCAATGGATGCTGATTTCTCACTCTCTGTCTCTCTGTGTCTCTGGCGAGTGCACGTGCCCTACAGTAAAAATGGAAAAAGAAAAAAAAAAGAAAGAAAGAAATCTGTACACGTTACTAAAATACTAAACTATAAGCCTGAGCATAGGGCTTTGGGTGAAAAAAAAAAAAATCTCTGAATCTTCCAAAACACCCAGAGTACAGTGTTTGATTTTTTATAGAAAAGAAATATTTAAAATATTGGCGAAATAAATAAATACAGGAATGAATAGAGTTCTGCTAAGTATCTCTATTAAAACTTACCAAGCTACTCAAATATTCTGCTCTTTGCAATCACTAACCATTTCAGTTAAGTTATAAATTTTAATTCATTTATACTTTCAATAAGTTTTCAAGATCATGTGGAACGCTTCTTACAAAAAGCTTCTTTCAATGATTACATGAAATGATGGAAAATCTGCCCCTTGATAAAGGCTGACTGCCCCTCCACAACATCTTTCAATAAATAGTATGTCTATATACATATCTTATTGCATAACGCTACACTTTGGACTAAATATATTTGTCCAATCATGTGGACAAATGAGCAAAATAACCATAGGGCATCAATTGTAATTTGAAGCCTAAAAACCTGTAGGAGGAAGAATCACAGTTTGTAAATATTGTATAAAAATAAAAATCAACATTTACCATGGATAAAACATTAGCCATATATTAAAGGGAGAAGAAACTTCTCTCCATAAAAATAAAACTTTATATGCATAGCTTTAAATGCTATGGAGGGCCAGGGGGTGACACAGTGGTAACACAATTAGACTCCATAGAAAAGGTCCTGGGTTCACAACCTGGGACATCCCTAAGCATGTGTATGTGAATGCAATCTAGACTAGCTAAGGTTGGGAATAGAATGCAGCATTGGAGGGGCTTGTTCCTTCCCTCTGTCTCTCCTATGGAAAAAAAAGTTAACTTTCATATATATATATATAAATGTTATGGAAACTTACCTCACCATGATAAATCAAAATCTGGAAGAATGTGTCCATGAGAAGAATACGATCTGCAAGAATGCTGCTGCTATCAAGAAGAACCGGCTAACATAAAGAAAACAATGACAGATAAAGAAAAAGGAAAAAATAAATTATTTAAAGATACAAAATAGATCTGTCCAAAATATTTTCTAAATTTTAAATTTATATTTTATTATTTAAAATCTCTTGGTACTATAAATTCTCATAGTACATTTTAATTTTCTAAAGAATCTCTTCCAACTGAGGTAATAAACAATTAAAAATAGAGTGAAAAAGAAAACAAGGGCCTAAGGTAGTTAAGGGAGTTGGATTCTACATGGCCACCACAGTTAGAATCCTGACCCTGGTGGCTTAAAAAACACACCAGGAGTGTGTGTGTATGGCCCCGATCCTAACAGTAAGAAGAAATAGAAGCAAGGAAAAGGGAGAGTGACCATGCTCTACTGGGAGGTGCTTTCTCCCTCTCTTTCACGCTGTCTCTCTCTGGTGAGCACACATGTCCTCTGGCAATTAAAAAATTTAAAATTAAAAAATAGAAAATCAAAGTATTGGCACCACTGAGGGAAACAGGAAAGGTGCAAGATAAAGTAAATTTGGAACAAGAGGAAAATAGTTCTGTTAATAAAATAAAAGGGAGTGATCTGGACTGATGACATAAACATGACTTATCACATGCACAAAGATAGTAATTAAAAGCTATGGAATTAGATTACATCACTCAGAAGGAAAATTGCAAAGTACCAAGGATTGAGTCCGTGAGTAAGCTGACACTTAGGGGTCTGAAAGAAAGAAGCCAGCAAAAGGAGACCAAGAAGAAACACAGGATGTGAGTATGGGGACAATCGGGTAAATGCCCCAGGTATCATATAAGCATAGGACAAAAGGTTTCTATTTTTTAAATAGTTATTTAATAATTTTATTTATTTATTTTCAATTTGCTATAGGGCACGTGTGTTCACCAGAAAGAGACAAAGGAAATGTGAGAATGCAAGCCACCAGGTCCAGGATTTGAATCTCCATTCACCATGTGGGAGTCCAGTGCCTTAACCATCATGACACTTACTGGCCCCTAGAGCAAAAAGTTTCCAAGGAGTGAGCCCTCATTTGGTAAATGTTGCTGAGAGCTCTGGCAACATGTAGGACACTGGTGGTCTCTACAAGAGCAGTTGCAGTATACTGTTATGGACAATGTCTGACTAAAAGAAGTTGAAAAAAGAATGTGAGGTGAGAAAATATAGACAAGAAATAATTTTTTAGTTCAACTATGACTGAGAGAAATGGGGTGGCAATTAGAGAAAATGTGGGTCAAGGTGGGTTTTGGTTTTTGTTTTTTGTGGGAGTTTTTTGCTCAATTCTCTTTTTAAAATAAGTGCTGTGAAAAGTTCTTTGAGAATGTTCCAAATTGATCCACGTAGCTAGAAAACACTCCAGGCAGGTGTGCATGCATGGCCAAAATCCCAAAAGGAAGGAGAAATGGAGAACGGACTCTGGCATGACCATACTCCATGGGGAGTGCTGTCTCACTTTCTTTCTTTCTCTTCTCTCTCTCTCTCTCTCTCTCTCAAAAGCAAATTTTAAAATGGAAAAGTTGGAATTTGATAGAAACAGGAACTAAGAGATAGTGGGATTCCAATATCCTTCTACATACTATCCTGCTTTTTCCAGATGTCTGCAACTTACATGTATGGCCCTAAAGTAAAAGAAAATAATTATTTCTAAATATTATTTTCCTGATTCAAAGAACTGTAACACCAAAAAGATACCTTAGACCAACAAGTTTTTTAAAATGTTTTCCTAGAAAACTAGAAGCTATTTGACCAATTACTAAAAGATTATAATAACAACATAAAATATTTTACCTATCTTAAAAAAACAGTGAATAATGGCAGCATGAGATTATTAATCAATAGTTATTATAAACATTCTCTTTATACTGACCCTTCTTAAAGTATTACTTTCAAAGATAGTCATTACATTCTTTAAGTGGTACAACAACTTTTAACTATAGAATAGGGGGAACCAGCAGTTACTGTAATGGTTATGTCGCTGGACTCCCACGTAGTCGACCGCGGTTCGTGTCCCGGACCCGGTGGCTTAAAACTCGCGCCGGGCGCGTGTGCGTGCGTGCCCAAGATCCTGAGAGGAGAATGGAGGAGAAGGGATTGCAGCGTGACTGTCCCCCCTGGGGGGTGATTTCTCTCTTTCTGTCTGTCTCTCTCTGTCTGTCTGGCGAGCGTACGCACCCTATAGCAAAAACCTCTCCGAAGAAAAAAAAAGATCCCGAGAGGAGAATGGAGGAGAAGGGACTGTGGTGTGACCATCCCCCCTGGGGGGTGATTTCTCACTTTCTGTCTCTCTGTCTCTCTCTGTCTGTCTGGTGAGCACATGTGCCCTATAGCGAAAAAACCTCTCAAAAAAAAAAAAATCTATAGAATAGGAAAACTATTCATTTGATAACAGTTAAAATAAGTGGAAGAGTCTTCTAAAAAGGTTAAACAGATGACTTTATCACTCTCCTACATATTGAATAAATAGAAGAACATATGTATTATCTGAAGATGAATGAAAATATATATCTTTATAATCAACTGTATCTATGTTCTCAAAAGACCAAAGGAAAATGAGATTTTATTAAAACAAGAGACAGTTTATGGGACCAGCAGTTAGTGTAATGGCTATGTTGCTGGACTCCCATGTAGTCGACCACAGTTCATGTCCCGGACCCGGTGGCTTAAAACTCATGCCAGGCGTGTGTGCGTGCGTGCCCAAGATCCGAAGAGGAGAATGGAGAAGAAGGGATTGCGGTGTGGCTATCCCCTCTGGGGGGTGATTTCTCGCTTTCTGACTCTATGTCTCTGTCTGTCTGTCTGGCGAGCGCACGCGCCCTATAGCAAAAACTCTCAAAGAAAAAGAAAAAGAGAGAGACAGTTTAGAAAGAATGTGTAACTGTCAGACTCTAAATCCTACAATAAGGCTATAGAATCATAATCACTTCTGGACAATGTTAATGGCATGAAGAAAAATCATAAGCCCTAGATAATTTTATCATCCAGATAGTAGGGAAAAATGTAAATGTCTCTTCAACCTAATTTTTCTATTTTTTAATGATTTCCTAATGCAATCAACATATCTAGCATATGGTAAGAACTCATATTTTAAGTGAATACATTAATAGTTTGAGACAATGATTAATTAATCACACTTAGCAACTTATGTACATTTTTTAAATTTACTTTTGTTTTCTATTGCTCTTACCTCTGGTGGCCCGCTGAAAGAATATGCATACAGAATAGGCTGAATCATGATTAGAGACTGGGTCAGATCTTGACGCATGAAATGGTGACGATAATAAGAACTCTCATCAGGACTATTGTTAAAAACTTGCAAGAAAGGAGATCTTCTTAAATGAAACATAAACTGCAAGAAAAAAACATGTGAGATCACTTTTACTATCACTCAATATTACAACAAAAGTTTAGTAAAAACAAAGTATTAGTCTACAACTAACCACACAATAAAGTAAGTTATGGTAACACATTCTAAATTATATTCTTCAGGAAAGAATATTTTTCATGCTATTTATTAGCCATTTAAAACAGTAATTCTACAGCAATTAAAAAAAAAAAAAAATAGGGCCATGTCAGGGCCTGGTGGTTAAGGCAGCCAGATCCTGACAGTAAGGAGAAATGGAGAAGAGACTGGGGCATAACTATGCCCCATTGAGAGGTGCTTTCTTCCTATCTCTCTCTTTCCATCTCCCTCTGGCAAATACACATGCCTTTTGGAAGTTGAGAAAAAGAAGTGTTTCTGAGTCATTTGCTTCTTACTTCCACTAGAGAAGAAAAAGATGGAATGCCTAGATATTTCTAAAAACCTAAAAGCCTAAGAAAAAGGTCTGGAGTAGGCAGAAAGAGAAAGAAAGGAAAGTGTGCAGAATTTAGTAAAGTACTTAAGCTAATGCCCTCATTTCTCTTCCTTATTAGTTTCTGCTATGAAGATGAGGCCTGAGCATTCCCAAAACAAAGGATTTTATACTCCTTAAGACAAATAGACCCTGTTGTGTTCTGGTTCTCTAATAACTCTCCAGAACTTTAGGAAGTCTCCCTCTATAAGAATAGAATTTCTGGGTTACAGATAAATAAACGATCTTGAAAAATAAACACAGTGGCTCTAAAAAAGAAGTTGAAGCTTTTTTTTTTTTTTTTTTTTGAGAAATTTTTCCTATAGGGCACGTGCACTTGCCAGAAAGAGATAGACAGAAAGCGAGAAATCACCACCCAGGGGAATGGCCACACCACAATCCCTTTTCCTCCATTCTCTTCTTAGGATCTTGGGCATGCACACACACATGCCCGGTGTGAGTTTAAGCCACCGGGTCCAGGACTCGAATTGTGGTCAACTATACGGAAGTTCAGAGACATAGCCATTATGCCAACTGCTGGTCCTGGAAGTTGGAGCTTTACACAAAAGTTTCATAAGCAAAAATTTGAATTTTCACATCTCAGTATTTAATCAACCTTCCAGGTCCTGATAAAATGACCCTCCTTTATAAAGATGCATCAAACATCCATTTGTAAAGATTCCATTAAGTTTCCTTTAAATTCTTTTTATCTTTCATAGCATTTCATTTCTCACTTTCTTTTCTGTGGTGTTTTATGTATTTTAGATCTTGGAATTTTAGGTGTAGGAATTCATGTCAGTCATCTTTATCCTACTGAAGTCCCTTGCACATAGTACTCAGCTGAATAAATGTTATCTGTGTTACTTATTATATAACTTTATTAAAATTTTTGTATGTGTGCATGTACACATGTGCATGGTATTTTAGGCAAGATCCTGCTGTGCTGCAATTCTCTTGCTTCGGTCTCCTTGATCACAGGTGTGCAACCACCACACTCAGCTAAAAAGCTGAGATGGGCTGAGATTCAAACTCAAGCCTCCCATGTGGCCTCAACCTGCCAAGGAATAGCATCCAGCTACCGTTCTTGGGCCAAATAACAAAAATTTTTAAAATATACATCAAATCAACAGTAAGACTGAGGGATAGAAAATGTGGAAAATACCCTGTAAAGTAAATTAATTTCTTTTCTATTTGCCTAGTAACAATCCCATAAACTGTTCCCAGGTGATAACAACATGTTGTAAGACTAGTACATTGGTAAAATTACCTCAGATTAGTAACCCATTTAGTACCACTGTAATCAGATCTCCTTATAATCAGATGGAAATCTAATCAGCCTTACACCTAAATCTCCCCATTGCAGGTTTCCAGTATAAACCTATTAACTACAAGTAAATGATTATTTCCAAACACAATATAAAAATGCTATGTATACTTTTCACCAACTATTCACAACATAACATTAATTTCTTTTTTTTCTTTTCTTTTTGAGAGGTTTTTGCACGTGCGCTCGCCAGAAAATTAGAGAGACAGAGAGACAGAAAACGAGAAATCACCCCTCAGGGAGGATGACCACACTGCAATCCCTTCTCCTCCTCCATTCTCCTCTGGGATCTTGGGCACGCACGCACACGCACCCAGCTTGAGTTTAAGCCACCAGGTCCAAGACTCCAACCACGGTCAACTACATGGGAGTCCAGCAACATAGCCATTACACCAACTGCTGTTCCCAATATAACATTAATTTCTTAACTGTCCCCAAAGTTACCTAACCAAAAGAACAACCCAATAAAAGAGGTTAAGATGAGTAATAAAAGACAAATAATAGGAAAAATGAGACCTGATGTTTCTGGCAACATGAGGAATGAATATGGACCTTATATCTACTTACCTGTGGATAAAGGGAGAAAGTTTCTGAAAATCTGAAGGAACTTGGATCATCTTTGTGATACTCTCCAAATTTCTGACACTAAATAAATAAAATGTATTAGTAATAATCAGTAAGATATTTCCTGGTCTAAGAGATAAAACTGTTGTCTTTTCTATTTATAAAAAGCTACTATACTTCAGGAGGCAGATACTTGATATTATAATGTTATCAGACTATTACTTATAGACTTCCCAAGAGACTGATTAACACCAAGAAAAATGTTACATTTCAGAAACAAACATTTCCCCAGTGCAGTAACAACTCACCTTACAACTGTTTCGATTGTTTTTAAACTAAGTCTTTCAGGACCAGGAGGTGACATAATGGCTATTATGTCACTGGACTCCCACGTAGTCGATGGGGGTTTGAGTCCTAGACCCAGTGACTTAAAACTTATATTGGGCACATGTGCAGGTGTGTCCAAAATCCTGAGAGGAGAATGGGGAAAAAGGGATTGCAGCATGGCTATCCCCTGGGGGTGGGGTGGTGGTGGTGATTTCTCACTTTCTGTCTCTCTGTCTCTCTCTCTCTCTTGCAAGTGCATGTGCCCTATAGCAAAATCTCTTTTAAAAATAAATAAGTAAATAAATAAATAAATAAATAAGCAAACTAAGTATCTCTAGTGACAAAGATCTCTCAGATTAAAAAAAAAAAAAATTTAACATGTGCCCCCTAAGACTACCTAAAAATGACAAAGCCAACTGACAGAAACATGCACTGTCAAAACACTACAGAGACTACAAAATCAAGTTGCTGTATAAAATATGGCACACTGAAAAAAATACTAGAAAGAACAGGGAGGCCAACAGGCAATCTGGCAAATGAAAAAAAACACGAAAGCAAAAATTAGAAGGAAATAAAGTAAGAGAGAAACCTCACTGGCCAGAGAAGTAAGCCACTCAAGATAACATGACAAAGGCATCTGGAGAATTAAGTGGAGTAATCTACCATCCATAAGCACAACAAGTAGCACTTTCTGAGCACTCAATCAATGGCAGCCTCCTCTCCTTGTTCTTGAGCAAAGTCTGCCCTCAAAAGTTTTTACAATACTTTACTGTTTTTACAGACACCTTGTTTATTTCCTAGTAATGTTTATCATAATAGCTGCAAAGGAACCATGAGCAAAAGTAACAAGCAAAATAACACAGAGAAAGGGAAAGGAGGTTGACTGCTACAGTAGTATAGAACTACTGCTGCCTAGAACATATCATTTTTGTATTTATTTGGGTCTTACATAAAAAGATATAGTTGGGTTTTTGGTTTGCAGGGAAAAAAAACATTTCAGAATCCCAGTTAACCAAGGATCAGAAAGTTACAGTTGTAGATGAACCTTAGAAAATACCCCTTGGATTTGGGAAGAGAGTGCTGCTTTTACGTCCCCTAATAATACACTTAAGAAATTTATGAGTTAAGACAATAATAGTTATTGTCCAATATGTCAACCACTAGCTATATGTGACAATTTAAATTAATATTAAACAAAACAGAAATTCTGTTCTTCAGTTGCACTAGCCACATTTTAACTGTTCATCACATGTGGGTAGTAGTTCTGTAATGGACATCACAAATTATAGAACATTTCTGTCACTGCAGGAAATTCTCCTGGTTAGTGCCAACGTAAGCTATCAAATACACTTGAAAAAAATCAGAGTATCAAATACATTGAAAAGATTCTGTGAAAAAGCCAGTATGTAAGGCATTATTTGGAACTATCATATTACATTAAATATATACATTTTAAATTGTGTCCAAAATTCTGATAAAATAAGGCATTAGGCAAATCTGATGGTGAGGATAATGAAAAGACTGTTATCAACCCTGATAATGTGATAATGGCTGAAGAGAGCAAGGGCTTATCTGTCACAGTAAAGGTATCCAAAACAAATGAAGTTAGCACCTAACAGTACCCAAAAGTGATGTTTCTTTTTCATTAAAAGAATTATGGTGAGTCATCAAGAAAAATAAGTCAGTTATATTACTATGCCAAATTGGAGCAAAGACATTTGTTGGTATAATTTCATAGACTGTTCATTAGGGAAAAACTTTATAAAAGTTTGGTTACCTACAAGATAGGAACTCCTTCTCTAATCATGTTGCTATTGTCATTATAGCTGAAAATTCAGCAATAAAGAATTAGTACAAAAAATGAGAAATGATGCTACAGCACAGCAGAATAATCTGTATCAACAAAAGTCATTATCACCTAAGATATTGGTATTAATACATGATTTGTCACAATAAGAGACACTGAAAACATTCATATTGATAAAGAAAGATACTTATCAGTGGGTTTTATGTTGCCTGGTATTATACTATTCAATTTTGCATTGTGTGTGACAATTAAAAAATAATTTAAAATATGACCAACTCTGCAGTTTGAGTCCCAGACTCAGTAATTTGAAAAACACCAGTCACATGTGCATACATGCTCAGAATTCCAAGAGGAAAATGGAGTAGGGTCATACCCCCGGAAGTAATTTCTCACTTTCTCTCTCTCTCTCTCTGTCTCCCTCTTTCTCTAGTGAGCACACATGTTCATGGTAAAAATCTAAAAAATTAAAAATAAAAGATGCATAAATGAAGAATGAAAACATACATCAATGAAGAAACACAAAAAAATCAGTAAGAACAGTCACAGTAATTTAGAATAAAATTTGGCCTTGCCTCAGTAGTGCAGAGGGCTGGGCTGAACTGCAGCGCTGGAAGCTACATGGCTAGCTGTGGGTTCAGAGAAGACTTGAAAACAAGCCAGGTGCACATATACCCAAGATCCTGACAAACTGAAGAGTCGAGAAGAGAGATCAAGGCATGACAGCACCCTATCAGGATGCCTGCCTGTCTCTCTGTCTCTCTTTACTATGCACATACATGCACATATACACATTTTCTTCATGGATTTTAAAAAAAAAAAACTTTAAAAATTTAGAACTAATTTGGAATTAATTACTCCCCTTCCAACCGGGGGACTGGTATGAAATTAATAGGTTATATAATTGTCACTCTGTCAACTTAAAGGAAAAAGAGGCATTCTATTTGACTAGAAGAAATCACTGAATACATCTATCCATTACAATGCTATTGTTTCAATAATACTGAACAGACATTCCTCAAACAGGGACAGAAGATAATCTGCAACAAACATTTAAATGAAAGCATAGGAACTTAGAAAAGCACAATATTATTTACTTCTTACCAGTCGAATGAGCTGTCTATCCAGCCATCTAAGCACATCTGGCCCTTCCTCTGTTTCTGCTCTATATATTGCCAGCCGGGCCATAAGAATGGCAGCTGCTTCCTGGTCAAAAGATGCAGCAATGTTCTGGATCTGAGTTTGAGCATCTGCCCAGCTAAAGGCAATAAGAAAACACAGAAATGCTGCTAAGTTATTACAGTCACAACACTATAGTTGGCTGCCATATGAATTTAAGTTTAAAAGATATAGAAAACTATTTTAATATTTCAAATTCCAATATATCTACATAAATTGGCATTTAAAAAAATCACTAATTGTAGTTTCAGTACAGAATTTCTTGTTTTTTGGAAAAATATAACCAACCCTAAAAATATGATCTAAAATAACTATACAGTCAGATCTCCATCCATATTCTTAAAAACATAAAAACAACCAGCAAATGATATTGTGGTTAAGGCACTGGACTCTCACACGGCCAACTACAGTTCAAGTCCCAGATCCAGTGGCTTGAAAAACACTGCACGTGTGTGTATCCACACCCAAAATCTTGAGAAGAGAATGGAGAAGTGATTGTGGCATACCCATCCCCTCTGGGGGGTGATTTCTCGCTTTCTATGTCCTCTGTCTTTCTGTCTGACGAGCATATTCACCCTATAGGAAAAATCACTCAAAATAAATAAATAAATAAGACTCTTAGGAGGAAAAGACTCAAAATAAATAAATAAGACTCTTAGTATGTATGTTTTTGCTTATGCACACATAAACACACAAGTCTCTATATCAGACTTAAAATTTTTCTTTAATTTTTTTTTCTTTTGGTTTTTGTTAAAGGGCACATGCAACGTCTCAGAGAAAGACAGGGAAAAAAAAAGAAAGAGGGAAAGCTTGAGAAAGAGGGAAAGTGAGAAATCACCACCCAGAGGCGATGATCACATCATTATCTCTTTTCCCCCATTCTCTTGGGATTTGGGGCACATACCCTTGGCGTGATTTTCAAGCCACCAAGTAGGGGACTCAAGCCATGGTCCTCGATGTGGGAGTCCGGCACCTTATATGCCATGCCACCTGCTGGCCTCAAATTTTCTTCAATTTTAAAAATCAAACAAACAAACAAAAAAGTCTTCAATTCTTTAAAAGCAGAAATAACAATAAAGGTTTTCTCTCAGCCTAAGTAATTCTCATTTATTAAAGTAAAAATTGAATAAAACATCAAAATATCCTTTTCATTGATTTTTAATTCAGTCACTAGTGATAAAAATCACATAATTAGGGGCCATCTGCTAGTGTAGCAGTAATAAAATTGGACCCACATGGGAAAGGTCCTAGGTTTGTGCCCCAGGACCTCCCAGAGCACGTGAGGTACATACAATCGATCTAGGCTGGCTGAGACAGGATGGGTCACAGCTAATGATCCTGTTGGAAGTACCTGACTCTAGCTCCTCTCTTTCTCCAAAAGAAATAAGTAGATAAAATTTTCTTTAAAATTACTTAATTAGGGTTGAGACCAGCACTTGGTATAATGGTTATGTCACTGGACTCCCACATAGTCAAACACAGTTCAAGTCCCAGACCTGGCGGCTTGAAACACACACCAGGTGCGTGTACTTGCGTGCCCAAAATCCCAAGAGGAGAGTGAAAGAGAAGGTACTGTGTGGTCATACCCCTGAGGGGGGTGATTTCTCGCTTTCTGTCTCTGTCTCTCTTTGCCAAAAATCTCTTAATTCCATAATTACTTTCCACTTTGTAGATACTTTACAAATATTTACATACAAAAGGATATCAAGGGAACAGTAGATGATGTAATGGTTATATCACTCAGCCGTGGTTCAAGTACCAGACCTGGCAACTTAAAACTCAAACTCACACCAGGCGCATGTGCGTGCATGCCTGAAATCACAAGAAGAGAATGGAGGAGAAGGGATTGCTGCATGGCCATTCCCCTCACCCCAGGAGGGGGATGATCTCTCTCTTTCTGTCTCTGTCTCTCTGTCTCTCCAGTAAGTATATATGCCCTATAGCAAAGATCTCTCTCTCCCAAAAAAAAAAAAAAAAAGGGTTTACAAAGCTGAGAAATAATTATTTATTCTTTTCTTTTCTTTTCTTTAAATAGAGAGTTTTGCTATAGGGTATGTGCACTTGCTGGAGAGACAGAGACACTGAAAGCAAGAAATTAACCTCTGGGAGATAGCCACACCACAATCCTTTTTCCTTCATTCTCCTATTGCGATCTTGAGCATACACACACGTGCCCAGTCTGTTTCAAGCCTCTGGGTCTGGGACTCAAACCATGGTCAATTAAGTGAGAGTCCGGCAATGTAACTATAATATTATCTGCTGGTCCCATCCTTTCTTTTTTTTTTTTTAAGAGAGATTTTGCTATAGGCCCATGAGCTCACTAGAGAGACAGAGAAAGACAAAAACAGAAAGTGAGAAATCAGCCCCTAGTGAGCATGGCCACTATAATTCCTTCTCCTCCTTTCTCCTCTCAGATTCCTAGACATGCACATACACATGCCCAGTAAGAGTTTTAAGCCACTGGATCCAGGACTCAAACAGTGATCAACTACATGAGAGTCCAGCAACATAACCATTATGCCATCTGCTGGTCCCAAGAAATAATTTATTCTTAATAAAAATATAGATAGAGAAGAGGACTCCTACATGGTTGACTGTGCCTTTCAAGCCCCAGGCCTGGCGACTTGAAAAACACACCAAGGGGACCAGCAGTTGGTGTAATGGCTGTGTCGCTGGATTCCCACGTAGTCGACCGAGGTTCAAGTCCCAGACCCAGTGGCTTAAACTCAAACCAGGCGCATATACATACATGTGTGCCCAAGATCCCAAGAGGAAAATGGAGGAAAAGGGATCGCAGCATGGCCATCCCCCCTGGGAGGTGATTTCTCGCTTTCTCTCTGTCTCTTTGTCTTTCTGGCAAGCGCAGGCCTCCTATAGCAAAAACCTCTCAAAAAAAAAAAAAAGTATGACCAAATACATGCTTTATTCAGAGATAATCTATCTATCATATATATAGGGATAAGAAAAGATATGCTATGCCTAATTATTCCTTTCGGAGACTGCCTATATCAACAAATTAGGATATGACTATATTACACAAAATACTACTCTATAATGTTAACTGTTAGAGACTTTACCTTTTGTGGTCTTGTCAAGTGCTAATCAAAGTATGATGTGCAAACCATTGCCAATTAACCATGAGGTAAAAAACAGAAACTGAGAATAAATGTTTAGAAACTTTTGAGTGATCTGGCAAAATAATTTCATCTCTAATAAATCTAATAATAAAAAACAAGAACTTGTGTTTTGAATGGCTTTTTAAATTTTTATATTCAGGGAACCAGCAGTTAGCGTAATGGCTATGTCGCTGGACTCCCACGTAGTTGACCACGGTTCACATCCCGGACCCTGTGGCTTAAAACTCACGCCGGGCGCATGTGTGTGCGTGCCCAAGATCACGAGAGGAGAATGGAGGAGAAGGGACTGCGGCATGACCATACCCCCTGGGGGGTGATTTCTCACTTTCTGTCTCTATGTCTCTCTCTGTCTGTCTGGCGAGCGCAAGCGCCCTATAGCGAAAATCTCTCCCAAAAAAAAAAAGCTTTATATTCATAGTAATTTATTTTATTGTATTTAATAAAAACATTCACCCCCAAACAATCAGGAAAAAAATATACCTGGTGCTTTACTACAGATAGTTTCAGGACTGGTCTGTACCACACCTTTATGTAGCAGACCAAATATGTACAAATCTTTTGTAATCACACCCTCCCACACCCTCCTATCTAGACTAAAAAGCAAGGGCTCAGTTAAGACTTAATAAATGGTGAACCAGTGGTTGGCGTGTGGTTAAGGTGCTGGACACACCCACATGGTCAATCATAGTTCAAGTCCTGGACTCAGTGGCTTGCTTTCTCACGTTCTCTCTCTCTCTGTGTTTCTCTGGTCAAATTAAAAATAAATGAACAAATAAAGTTAAATAAAGAATTCTTTTTTTAAAAAAAGACAATAAATGAATCAGATAACTCACAACATTTGAAAAAGATTTTATAGCTAAGAACTTACTACCCATTAAAAAACAGTACTATTAATTATTGTACTATATTATTAAGTACGTATATTTAAGAGTAATTATGTGTGTGCATATATATATTCACTTATTACAAAAAAATGTTCAATTTTCTCTTAACATTTTTTACTTCAATTTATTAAAGCTAAAACTGCCTTTCTTGACATTAAAAAATATAATTAAAAAAACTACCTATTTAATGACCACAATAAGTTACATAGTCTTAGCTAGGTACCACTTTATAGGATATTCATTCTACCCACAAAGTCTCATACCTAAAGTCAACTTTTGTTCACAGGTATGTATATATCAGCTGAACTTACTATTGAAATTTATATTAACTAAGATATTTTGTGAATCAATGAAAAGTGGGAAAGAATAAAGGAATGGAAAGCAACGGCAAATACCAGAGACAGGGTGGAAGGAGTATGGGAAATGGCAGAAGGTGAGAAATAGGGGGGAAAATATATACAAGAAACAAGAAATGGAAAATTGTTGATGACAGTATCTATGATTAAGCCACTTTGCAGTGTATTCTGGCTAGAAAATTGCATTCTGTATGCTGTGGTGATATTCAGTGAAAGAATGTAAAACAAACAAATAAAAACAAAAAGTACTATTAATTATCATGCTATATTATTAAGTATGTATATTTAAGACTAATTATGTGTGTACATATATATTCACTTATTACGGAAAAATGTTCAATTTTTCTTCTATCACAGGAATGAGGTAAATAAAAGAATATTTTGAAGAGTGTATCTTAGGATTACTTTTTTAAAATTGCTCTTACAGTTCTTAATGAATATCCTAGGAAATAAGCTGGGTTAGAAAAAAATAAAATGCCATTAGATATAAATATTCAGTCTAGTCATAGATGTCACCCAAAATAGAAACCCAGTTTGGGAGCACAACTCAGAATAGTGCTGATATCAAAATTAAGTCTCTAACCAATACAACTTACTTCCTAGCAATGGTGGTCACCCGGATGCGTCTCTGCCCACTGGAATGCTGATACTGAGTCACAAACTGAATTGCACCACGCCCTCCTTGAGGAATAGGAGCATTATGCTGTGTAAAAACAATGAAGCAAAACTAAGCAAAATCTACTATTGTTGTTGTCATATAATCATAGACTACATAGTCTACCACAAATAAAATTCATTCTAAAGCTGACTAGAATAATGCTTGTTTCCATTGCAAAACATTCACGATCCACATGAAAGAAGAGAAATTAATTTGGATGAGGGGAAAAATGAACAATGAGAAGAGTGAGCCCTGCTAGGGAATTAATTTTAAAATAATATATAACTCAGAGAGACATGAAAGAATAAAGCAAGACTGAAAGCTTGGCTGCTAGGTATGACGTTTGCAGGTTTCTCTGACATGCTATTGTAGTATGTCTTCCACCCTCAAGGAGTTTAGCCTTGAGAAATAGATAATGACAAGCAAAAGTGCCAAAACAGAATGATGAACTTTAGGTCATATTTACTATCAGAAAAGAATTAAATATTCATGACTTAAATTCAGTACTTGTTCAAATATACTTTTCAGTATCCAAACATAGACTCATACCTGATTGACAACCTCAAAATATATGGCTAACGTTGTAGTGGGACTAAGTCCACAGATCTTCCACTGACAGGTGCCACCTGTTCCTATCTCCTATAAAAATAAAATATAGCATGTCTGAAGGCAAGAGAACACAATTTATTGTATAATATATATCAAAGGGGAAAGAGACAGAAAAAACTTCAGTAAGAAAGTATTTTTTCATGTTTTAAGGTGATTCAATGAATATTGAAAAGCTTAAGATTTTTAAAAGCACATGTTAAATACATCATGAAATAAAATTAAGCAATTTTTACATCACATAATTAAAAAGCAATTCAAATTCGTGCTAAATTATAAAAGTATTGGTACAAGTCTTTCTCACTTGTTCTCTTTAAAAGCAAAGGCCACTTAATGAGGTAATGACTACTAATATTATCCTTCTATCCAACTATCTAATCTGTGTAAAGAGAGATTGATTTATACATAATACATGCACACATGACACAGGTTTTCTGAATCTGAACTATAAATGATCCGATTCCCAAGAATATTTATTAGATACAGATCTTTACTACACAAACTGCTTACAAATTAATTTTTTGGCTTTGTCCCTTTACAGCTGTGTTATTTGTCCAATCATGCTTTCTATAGCTGTATAATATTATCACTTTAGAGTGCATTACACTTCCACTAGATGGGATAAAGAGACAATGAAGGAAAATAAAACTTAGATATGGCAAGTTTGGTTACTTTGTTGGAAATTCTGGCAACAAAAATCAATTCAGGATTAATTTTAACTTTCAGAAGTCTCCAAATTTCCAAGTCATTAGAATTTTGTTATTAGGCATACTGGAGAAAGGAATAACTTAGGTGTCAAATACAGAAGACTGATAAGAGTAAAAAAGTTTTAACTTAGGGTTGGATGGGAAAATGGTATTTGGAAAAAATAATTACAGGGACCGGTGGGTGGCATGGTGATTAAGGGTGCTGGACTCCCATATAGCATGGTTTGAGTCCCAGGCCGGGTGGCTTGTTTTCTCTCTCTCTCACACTCTGTCTCTGTCTGGCCAAATTTAAATAAGTAAATAAAGTTAAATGAAATCATTCTTTAAAAAAGAGAGAGAATAGTTATAAACTAGAGGTATACCATGGAAGTTGAATCACATAAAACAGCTCAAACAATAATTTTGAAATGAATGCTATAGGCTACCATCCCAGGTCTTTGTTTTTATTCCCTTCAAAATTCATTCTTTTCTTTTTAGAACAAAGATGACTTACATTTTCAGATACACAGGGTCCTTTAGAATTGAGAGACACACAAGGTCCAATAGCTCCTGAAATCTTTATTTCTCTTGAGGTCTGTAAAATAAGAATATAGTATATTTTGTTTCCTGAAAGGTAACTTCAAATATTAATATATAAGAATGTAAGAAACTTTTCCATATTAAAACTCAATATACCAACATTAAAAATAACTAGTCATCAGGACAAGCAGTTGGCATAATGGCTGTGTTGCTGGACTCCTATGTAGCTGACCATGGCTCAAGTCCTGGACCCAATGGCTTAAATCCACACTGGGGGTGTATGCGTGCGTGCCCAAGAGAGGCAAATGGAGGAGAAGGGATTGCAGCGTGGCCATCTGCACTGGGGGGGTGATTTCTCACTTTCTGTCTCTCTGTCTCTCTCTACTTTTCTGGCGAGCACACATACCCTATAACAAAAAACTCAAAAAAATTAAAAAATAACTAGTCATTGAACATGTCTTTTTTCTTTCTTTCTTTGTTTTTTTTTTTTGTTTGTTTGTTTGTTTTGTTTGTTTTTTTTTTTTAATTTGCTACAGGACACATAGGCTTACCAGGTAGAAAGAGAGGCACAGTGAAAGAAAGAGAAGGAAAATTAAAAAGCAACTCCCAGGGATAGCCATGCCACAATTCCTTCTCCTCTATTCTCCTCTCAGGACTTTGGGCATACATGCATGCACACTGCTGTTTTTCAAGGCACTTGGACTCAAACTATGCAGTCAGTCATGTGGAATCCAGCTGCCTGAACCACAATGCCACCAGTGGGCTGGCCCAGTAACTGAGCATTGCTAAAATGATACCTCCCAAATTTAAATCTAGTCTAACTTACATCTACTTCCATGAGCCCATAAAGGGTCTCTATTTGGGGGGTCAGCAGGTGGCATGGAGGTGAAGGTGCTGGATCCCACATGGCCAACTGCTTGGTTTGAGTCTCAGACATGAGGGCTTGAAAACATGTCAGGCACATATGCCCAAAATCCCAAGGTTTTCAACTGACTTTGCCCAGATCCATCAGAGAAATCACTACCTATATCAGACACCTTACTATATGTATTTCGTAAATAAGACTTAAAGGTTGAAATGACTTCTTGAGACATGAGCTCCAGATGAATGTTGTTAGTAGCATGAAAATAACACTCGTCCCCCTATACGTCTCTATCAGAGCTCTTGGGTGACTAGGTGCACAGTCAATGTCAGTAGTCTCCAAAGCAGTCTTAAAATATTCAATAAATTATGCTGTTCACAGATGTGCTGTCATCCAAGCTTTGCTGTTCCACTTACAGACCACAGGCAGAGTATATTTAGCACAATTCTCAACTGCCCTAGGATCTCTGGAATGGTAAATGAGCACAAGCCTCAATCCAGTCACCAGCTGCATTAGCCCCCTAACAAGACGGCTTGTCCTTCAAAGCTAGGAAGCCAAGCACTGACTTCTTTTCTCTACGTATGAACATCCTAGACAGCATCTTCTTTCAATAGAAGGCTATTTCATCCATAACGAAGAACTGTTTGGTGCAGCCACCCTCTTTAACTACCTTAGCTAGATCTTCTAAATAACTCGCTGCAACTTCTGCATCAACACTTGCTGCTTTACCTTGCATAGCTTCTTTCCTTAAATCTTCCCTGTAGCCCCCATCCCTCCCTTAGACTTCATAGAATTCAAGAGTTAGGGCACTTTGCTACAAATAAGACTGTGGCTTAAGGGAAAGTTGTAGGTGGTTTGATCTTCTGTACAGACCACTAAAATTTTCTCCATCTCAATAGTAAGGCTGTTTTGGTTTTGTTTTTTTAGAGGGACTTTTGCTGTAGGGTGCATGCATTCGCTGTAGAAACAGAAAGCAAGAAATCATTCCCCAGGGGGAATAGCCATATTGCAATCTTTTCTTCTCCATTCTCCTCTCGAGATTCTGGGCATGCGGGCACACGTGCCTGGCATGAGTTTTAAGCCGCCTGGTCCAGGACTTGAACCACAGTCGACTACATGGGAGTCCAGTGACATAACCATTTACACCATCTGCTGGTCCTATGGCTGTTCTTCTTTTCCACTCATATGTTCACTGCAGTAGCAGGTTTAATTTCCTTTCAGAATTTTTCACAATTTGGCTAACTGACCAAAAAGCCTAGCTTTCAACCTGTGTTGTCAACATGCCTTCCTCACTAAGCTTAAATCACTTCTAGCTCCTGACTTAAAGTCAAAAACATGAATTCTTCCCCTCACTTGAAGACTTAGGTGCTGCCGTAGGTTATTAATTGGCCTAATTTCAGTATTGCTGTATCTCAGAGAACAGGAAGGCCCAAGAAGAAAGGGAGAAAAAGAGGAGAATCACCAGTGAGTGGAGCAGTCAGAACACATACATTTATCATTAGGTGTGCGATCTTACATGGGCATAGTTCCTGGTGCTCCAGCAGTAACCATGGAAGATCAAAGATTACATATTACCATAACAGATATAACAGTGAAAAAGTTTGAAGCACTGTGAGAGTTATCCAAATATAACACAGAGACACAAAGTAAGCACATGCTGCTGTAAAATCAGTGCAGAGAGACTTGGTCTGCACAGGGTTACAACAAATGTTTAATATGTAAAAAAAAAATAGTATGGGCCAGCAGATGGTGTGGAGATTAAGGCTGGCTGCTGGATCCCATATGACAAACTGTGCAGTTCAAGTCCCAGATCCAGAGGCTTGAAAATCTTGCTGGACCTATGTGTGTGTATGACCAAAGTCCCAAGAGGAGGAGGAGAAGGAACTGCTGCATAGCCATCCTCCCTGGGGGTAATTTCTCATTTTCTCTCTCACGCTTTCTCTGTCTCCAGCAAGTGCATGCAACCTATAACAAACTAATATATAAATTAAATAAACATATATCAGCAAATTACAATAAAGTTGAGTTAAAAATGAGGTATGTTTGTACAAAATAAACACTATTTGTATTTGATTCATGATATTTTGAAATTATATCAAGTCTACAAGTTTCTCTCTTGATAACATACCATCAATGTAGTCTTGGTCCTTACCTTTATTTCTAATGTTCCACCAAAGCCCATTTTAAACTGCCCATGCATATCTTTGGTAAAGACTCTTTGAAAAGTTTGCTTGAATAAGGAAGTGTTGAAAGAGTCACCCATTACCATGTATCCTCTATATAAAAAGAACAAAAAACAATCTATGTAACATTCTCTGTTAAAACCAGAAAAGTAATTACTGCTCAAGACTACTAACAAATTATAAAGATATTTCCCAAAAGGTGTTGTATTACTAATTTTTAAAACTCAAATATATATGAAAATATCCTCACCCCAAAAATAACCTCCCTTCTGAGGATATCTTGAGTACCCCTAACACTTGTATTTGTCTTCAGTAATTTTTGAAAACTCTTCTTTTAATAAATAATATATTCACACAATACTATATACAAAAGGGTATATGGTAATAAAAGTTTCTCTCTCATCCCTGAAGACACCTGACAGTTAAGAGCATACTTTCTTATTCTTAAAAACAAACAGATGTGTGCACATGAATTTATGTATATTGTCTGAGTGTGTGTCATATTAAACCCATCTATGTTACACCCAGTGAATGAGAATAAAGGAACATTAAAGAAGCATTTTCAGTTTATGTACTTACATATCAATTTTGTTAAGCATGTACTTACTTTTTAATTTAAAGTTTTTAAAATTATAAATTTATAAATAGAAACTATTTTTATATATCATTTCTTCTCTAAGAAATTGGAAGGAAAAAAATCACAGTTTGACAACATATTGTGCTGTGAAGTATGGAAAAACATGCACTCATATCCTCATAATACTCCTGGTGGAAAGGCAAAATGATGCAATGTCAACGCAGGGGCATTTGACAATACCTAAGGAAATCAGTTATTTTTCTTTAATCCAGCCACTGTACTGTTAGGAATCTACCCCAAAGATACTCTAGCAAACAAAAAAGCAAAATATATAAAATACATGCACAAGATTATTCACTGAAACGCTCTTTGTAATAATAAAAGACTGGAAATAATCCAAAAGCCCATTGTTTCTATACAATGAAATATTATTAAATAAAGGGAGTTTTTGGTTCGGCAAAGAAAGGAAATAAAATATTGGTACATCCTAAGTATGGATAAATTTTAAAAACATGACACTGAACAAAAGACCATATAGTATGATTCCATTTGTATAAAATGTCCAGAATAAGCAATTTAGTAGTGGTTGCCTAAGATTTTGAGAAAGGAGGAGAAAGAGGGTAGAATGGGGAGTGACTGCGGATAATATTAGAGCTTACTTCTACAAATGTTCCAAAATTAAATTATGGTAACAGTTGTGCAACCTGTGAATACACTACAAGCTATCTGTACACTTTAAATGAGTAAATTTATGGTGTGTGAATTACATCACAAAAATGCTGCTAAGATAATAAAATAAAACAATAAATTCAGGATACCCAAGTTAACTTTTTAAACAGAACTTGTGCCTTTATAACTCTGTGTTTTATAAAAAAATTTAAAGAGAACTTTACTGAAAGGAATATCAAAAACTTTTAATAGATACTACCCTGAAGTAGTAGGACAATGACTATTTTTTTTTTCCCTAAATGATCATCACGGGTTTAAATTTGTAAACTGCCATTATTGGTTTATAATTACAAAAACCGTAAAAATGTAAATACATACCCTGTAAGGTTCGGACAACACTTCATCTCCAGGAGACCTGTCTGATCTAATGCACATGCATAGATATCAATAACATGGCCAGTTGTAGCAGCACGATTAGCCAATGCTTCAAAATGCTGCAAGAGATGTTTTTTAATTAAATCGAAGTAATATGTAAACTTAATTATTCTATAAATCTTATTTCTATTAGTAGATCTAATGATATAAAAAAGACTAAGAGAATAATGCATCACAATTCTTTTTTTCAATTTTTACCAGAGAGCACATGTGCTTGCTGGAGTGATAGAAATAAAGACAGAGAGAGGAAATGAGAAAGCATCCCCCCTCGGGAATGGTTGCACTGCAATCCCTTCTCCCTCATCTCTCTCAGCTTTTAGGATTTTGAGCACATATGCACACACACCTGCAGTGTTTCTCAAGCCACAAAGTTCAGGACTCAAACAGCATAATGGGCCATGTGGATCCAGCCTCCTTAACCCCAAACCACACCTTAATCACCAGGACACAATTTAAATATGATTTGTTCTTATTTAATTTTCTGTAATATCTTCTAAAATGATACAACATCTTTTCTTTTTTTTTAAGGTTTTTGTCATAGGGTGCATGTGCTCTTTTTCCCTTTCCTCTTCTCCTCTTGGAATTTTGGTCACGTAAGCCTGGTGTGATTCTCAAGTCATCAGGTCCCAGACTCCAAGCACAGCCAGCCATGTGGGAGTACAACACCTTAACCACTATGCCACCTGCTGGCCCTACAAAATCTTTCAGTCTGACATTTTCATTTTTGTTTGGTTTTATTTTTTTCACTTTCTTTTCTTCTATTTATTATTTTTTTAACAGAGATTTTTGCTATAGGGCACGTGTGCTCACCAGAGAGACAGAAAGCAAGAAATCAGCCTCCAGGGAAGATGGCCATGCCACAATCCCTTCTCCTTTCTCCTCTCAGGATTTTGGGCACACACGCACATACACCCAACATGAGGTTCAAGCCACCAGGTCCAGGATTTGAATCGTGGTTAGCCATGTGGGAGTCCAGAGACGCAACCATTACACCATCTGGTTTCTCACTTTCTTTTCTTTAAAAGCTACTCTTTTTTTTTTTTGGAGAGATTTTTTTTTTTTCACTGTAGGGCGCGTGCGCTCGCCAGACAGACAGAGAGAGACATAGAGACAGAAAGCGAGAAATCACCCCCCAGGGGGGATGGTCACGCCGCAATCCCTTCTCCTTCATTCTCCTCTCGGGATCTTGGGCACGCACGCACACGCGCCCGGCTTGAGTTTTAAGCCACCGGGTCCGGGACACGAACCACGGTCGACTACGTGGGAGTCCAGCGACATAGCCATTACGCTAACTGCTGGTTCCCTTTAAAAGCTACTCTTGAAATCAGCATATGGTATAATGGTTACATTGCTCACACATAGTAGATTGTGGTTTGAGTCCCAGACCCCCAGTAGCTTAAAACTCATGCCTGGTGTGTATGCACGTGTGCCCAAAATCTCAAAAGCAGAATGGAGAAGAAGAGACTGCAGCATGGCCATAGCCCCCGGGTAAGGGGGAGGAGGATGGTGTGATTTCTCACTTTCTGTCTCTCTCCCTCTCTCTGGCATGTGCACGTGCCCTACAGAAAAAAAATCTCTCTTTAAAATACATAAATAATTTTAAAATGTTACTCTTTCTAGACAAACTTCTATATGATGTTAAATTTGAAGAAATGCACACTGAAAATCATGCTCTTTCTATTTAAACATGGTAGAAAACAACATAGAATTCTTTTCCCTGGCTAAATCCTCACCCCAGAAACAAAAATATCCAATAGACCATATTTCTTAAAATATAGTAGGACAGGGACCAGTTGGAGGCATGGTGTTAGGGCACTGGACTCCCACAGGTCAACTGCAGATTGAGTCCCGGACTCAGAAGCTTGAGAATCACTGTGGGTGCAGGTGCATGTATGTCCAAAATCCCAGGAAGAGAATGGACTATGGCATAGCCATCACCCCTGGGTGGTGTTTTCTCACTTTCCCTCTCTGTCTCTCTCCAGTGAGTGCATGTATCCCATGGCAAAAACCTAAAAAAAAATTAGATAGATGGATAGATAGATAGATAGATAGATAGAAGGTAAGCGGTAAAAAAATGCTCCATGAAGCTAAGGCCACTTGAGAAGGTCCTTGCACCTCAAGGTTTCCCTGTGCATTCTGGATATAAGCATGTGCTAATGATCCTGGCTGTCTAAGGCTACAGGTGGATAGTGGCACAAAGACCCTGATGAAGATGCCTGCCTACTTTTTTGTATCTGTGTCTGTCCCCCTTTCTCACAGCAGAAATAAACTTTCAACGTTATCTATTAGGGGCCAGCCAGTGGCATGGTGATTAAGGCAGCTGGATCCCACATGGCTGAGTCCCACACCATGCTGCCTAACAAATACAGCAGATGCATATGCATATATACCCAGATCTCAACAGGACAGAAAGACTGAGGAGAAGGGATTGCAGCATAACCATCCTTCAGTGGGAGTTTTTTCACTTTCCCTCTCTCAACTCTGTCTCTCTCCAATGAGTGCATGTACCCTCTGACAGACATTTAAAAATTTTAAAAATAAAAAATAAATAAATAATCTACTGGGGCCAGCAGGTGGTATAGTAGTTAAGGTGCTGGATTCCCACATGACTGAACACAGATTGAGTCCTGGACCTGGTAGCCTGCTTTTTCACTTTCCCTCTCTCTCTCTGTCTCTCACTCTCCCGCTCTCTCTCTCTCTCTCTGTTTCTCTCTGGTGTCTCTCTGGTGAATGCACATGCCCTATAGCAAAAAAAAAAAAAAAAAAAAACCTTTTGGGACTTACTATTTCATTTTTAAATATTTCAAACCAGAAATACTGTCATAAGTTATCCCAAAAAAAGAGAGTATTTCTCCAATTTTGAATAGCAGTTAAAGTATCAGACTTCATACCAGATTTCTATCAAAAATATTTATTATTCCTCTTTCATCAAATGAATACCTGTTTTCTAATAAGCCAAACACACTTAAAAGCCAAAATTACCTTAGTTCCTTTTTTAACATATTTGGCATTATCTTTTTCAATGTCATGCCATGATCTTATAGGTGTCTTCAGTTCATCTCCAACCACCATTCCAGGCCCTTGAGTAGCAGGGCCACCAATGAACATCATGATACGAGCACCAGTATTGGGGAAAGTACACTATTGAGGAAAAAGAAACTCGTCAAAAAGGGTTTAAAAGAAAATGGAAAACATATGGATGTATATTTGTGAAAATGAATCCCTTTATACATCCTTTCTAGAAACGAAGCATACATTTTCTAAGAAATGAAATAACCAAATGTTAAAAATGAAATTAAAAAATAGTGTTTGTTTAAACAACTTTGTTCTTATTCTAAATAGTAGTATGTTCTTAATTTTAAAATAATCTTATAAACCTAATCTCTACAAACGAGAACATTCTTTTTTAACTAGTCTTAGACTGGGGAGGAGTAGAGACAAAGGAGGAAGAGGGGGCATATTCTTCAGTTAATAAACTGAGTACTCTAATCTACTTCCCCTTCCTCCCAAGATACAATAAGAATGGAGCCATTACCTCTGTGATATTCCCGTCAAACATGAGAGACTGGAGTCTAAGCATGAGGGTATGTCAATACAAACCCAAATTTACAAACAGTCTACCAAATAACTGGTCTGAATCTTCCAAAGTGTTGTGATCATGAAAGTCAAGGAAAGCCAGAGAAGTGTTACAGAATGAAGGCAACTAAACACATGATCAAATTAAATCCTTTCAGGAAAGAAATTATTGCGATAATTGGTAAAACCAGAATGTGGTCAAGAATTAGCTGACAGTAATGTATCAGTGTGAATATTCAGATTTAAATAGTTACATTATAGTAATGCAGGATAATATCCTGGTTTATAGAAAACACAGTAAAGGAAGATTAACAAAACGAAACAAAAAAAACGATAAGTGCTGGCAGGGATGTGGTGAAAGGGGAGCACTCCTATATCGTTGAAGGGAATGTAAACTGGTCAAACCACTGTGGAGAACAACATGGAGGTTCCTCAAAGACCTTCAAATAGAACTACCATATGATCCAGCAATTTCACTCCTGGGTATCTACCCAAAGGACAGAACACTCAGTCGGAAAAGTGCATGCATAACTATATTTACTGTAGCACTATTCAAGATTGCTAAGACATGGAACCAACCCAAATGTCCACAGATGAATGGATTGAAAAACTGTGGCACATATACTCCATGGAATATTATTCAGCCATAAAAAACAACAAGGCCCTGGAATTTGATAGAAAGTAGATGAATATGGAAGACTTATTGGTGAGTGAAGCAAGCAAGTCAGGCTATGAAAGAGAGACATTGGACGTCTCCACTTAACATACACGGACTGTCTGCACTCTAGAGAGTAGAGACTGAAGAACTGAAGGACATACAAGCATTAAAAATTCTTATGGACACTAGAGACAAAGTGGAAGGAGAGTATGGGAGTAAAAGAGCACAGAAAAGATAATTTGGGGTTAAAATGGAGAGGTAAAATATTTTTGGGACACGGATATAGTTTGTTATCTGTTTATGAGGATGTGTATAGTATTCTCCACCGGACTGAGATGTATATATCATGCTGGCAACTGACAAATGAAGTAGGGGATAGTCGTGTCGATCTGAACCCTCAATCTGTGGGATCTGACACAATCTTCAGGTAGTAGCAGAACTGAATTATAGGCTGTCTGGTTGATAGCCACTGCAAAATTGCTTGCTTAATATGTGAGGGGAAAAAAATACATACAGTTGAGGTCACAGACATACTCCGTGTTGATTGTTGAGTGAGAGAATGAGAGGGGAAAAGCAGTGTGGTTTCCTCTGTCTTTATACTTTCATGCACACATGATGGCACAGACACAAATATTTACATTCTAAAACAAAGCCATCATCACTACCTCGAGTAGTCCTACAGCTATGGAAAGTGCCACTCCGGAGGAACGCAAAGGTCTCTTTCCCTGTGGTACAGGCCAAGGATCTCGCTGAAGTTCTCCCAGAAGATCTGTAAGATTCATATCAATTTTCTGTACTGGCTGTAAGAATCTGCAACACAAAATTAAATTTATAAATATCTGTAGCTGTAGGTTTTAAAAGCAAATTGTTCACTTTCCTAAGAATAGAGGAAAATACAGTATATGCTGTGTGTGCTGTGAATACACAGCAGACCAATGGCTTTCAGACGTTCATGTGCATCAAAATCAGTTGGAGGATTTTTTTTTTTTTTGGAGAGATTTTCACTGTAGGGCGCGTGCGCTCGCCAGACAGACAGAGAGAGACATAGAGACAGAAAGCGAGAAATCACCCCCTGGGGGGATGGTCACGCCGCAATCCCTTCTCCTCCATTCTCCTCTCGGGATCTTGGGCACGCACGCACACGCGCCTGGCATGAGTTTTAAGCCACTGGGTCCGGGACACGAACCACGGTCGACTACGTGGGAGTCCAGCGACAAAGCCATTACGCTAACTGCTGGTTCCCTGGAGGATTTATTTTAACAAAGACTGCCAAGTCCCCAGTTCTAGTGTGTCAGCAGATTTAGGGTGCAGCCCGCGAATTTGCATTTCAAACAAGTTTCAAGGCAATACAGATGCTACTGGCCCAGGAATCCCTCCTTAAGCATAACTGCTATAAACAAAATATTCAACCAAGTATTACTTGTGACTTCAACTTTCATTTAAAAATCTAGGAAGTATTAAGATTACTGAAGTAATTATGAGAAGACACATCATCTCGAATTTAGTAATATCACCTCTGATTAGAAAGTTTAGGGGGGATGGGACTGGCAGTTAGCATAATGACTATGTCGCTGGACTCCCACGTAGTCGACCACGGTTCGAGTCCCAGACCCGGCAGCTTAAACTCATGCCGGGCGCGTGTGCGTGCGTGCCCAAGATCCCGAGAGGAGAATGGAGAAGAAGGGATTACAGCGTGGCCATCCCCTCTGTGGGGTGATTTCTCACTTTCTGTCTCTCTGTCTCTGTCTTTCTAGCAAGCACACGCACCTATAGCAAAAACCTCTCCCAAAAAAAAGAAAAGAAAATTTAAGGGAAAAAGCTACCTCTACAGTTAAGAAGACAAAGTGAAAAGGTTTTAAGGCCATATTTTTGTTTGGCTACCCTTAAATTACAAAAATTAAGTTCTTCTGAACTTAAAAATGGAAAATCAGGAATATAACAAAACTAAAGAAACTCCCTATGTTGAAACAATGAAAAATAAACCACTGATTCAATCTACTTATATTAAAAATATTTAACAATATAGTATTACTGAATACTTAAGTTCAAATTAAGGATACAGGACTCTTAAAATAACTGTGTGAATTATAAAATACTCTTTGCCATATTTAATTATTACCTATTGGAAGGAGGCGGCTGCTGCACCTGAGGACCACGTGTTGCCTGAGTGACTGGTACTTTAGACAGCCCCAGCATTTCCTGTAAAGAGAGTATTTATGTGATATCTATTTAATTACTTCTACAAAGATTTATCAACTATTTTGCTGTGCTAGACATTAGGAACACCAAAAAAAACAAAAAGAACCCAAGGTCCCATACCTTAGAAAGCAAACAGTCTAGTTGGGAAGATCATCAGGAAAACAATCCAGTGACATAATCATTATGAGAGCAAAGTACAAGGTGTTACTTGAACAAAGAGGAGGGAAGGATTTCAGTTCTGAAATACTTTATCTCTAATTAATAGTGAAAATAAGTTGTTGTGTAACTTAAATATTTATACTTCTTAATGTATATTCATTTATCCCTTTCAGCAACTATCTCTTAAGCACTGCTATGTGCCAGGAATATAATAGTATAAAAATAAATAGTCCCTGTTCTCTTGGGAATTAAAATGTGAAAATAGAAACAGATTAACCAAATCATTAGGCAAATAAGTATAAAATTGTAGGGGCCATGAGATGCATAGCAATTACATCGCTGGACTCCCACGTGGCCAACAGTGGTCCAAGTCCCAGACCTGGTGGCTTGAAACTCATGCCAGGTGCATATGCATGCATGTCCAAGATTCCAGGAGGAGAATGAAGAAGGAGGGATCTGTCTCTCTCTCTCCAGCATGTGCACACACCCTAACGCAACAACCTCTAAAAAAAAAGCAATCATAACAAATAGTATGATGGATGGAAAGGCATATGGAATCATATAAAGGGGAATTATTAAGCACACATAGTTTGTACGTGTAGACTTCTTAATTTTTCAACTTGCTTTGAATTTCCTATGCATGCACAATTCCTTTCTAGGTACATGCAAAAAAATTGTTTTTAAAGTTTGCTATATGGCATGTGCACACAACAGAAAGAGACAGAGAGAGAGGGCAGAAAATGTGAGAAATCCTAATCCCCCATTCTCCACTTGGGATTTGGGGCATGCACACACACACACCTGGCATGTTTTCCAAACCTACAGGTCCAGGACTCAAACCACCTGTTGGCCATGCAGGATCCAGTAACCTCTGCGCCACCTACTGGCCCCAAAATAATGTTACTTTATTCAAGTTTTCTTGAATATAGAAATGCTTTGTTACAAATAGAGTAAAAATACATAATAGAAAATCAGAAAGTCTAGAAAGTCTAAAGATCTGCAAACATAGCTGTCCTAGTGCCTGCCGGTTAAGAGAGCCAGATCCTGGGACCAGCAGATGGTGTAATGATTATGTCACTGGACTCCCATACGGCTGTCACACGCACATGCTTGTGTGCTATTATGTGCATGTACTTGTGCTCTATCATAAATAAAGAAAAAAAGTTAAATACATATCATGTTCACAGATAGGTTGAAACTATCATTCTTGTTGTTTACCTGCAGCTGTTTGGCAGACAGATCTTTCGTTCCTCTGAAGACATAGCTTTTTGAAATACCTTCACATCCAAGTTCATGAACCTGTACCATTCTCCCAAAAGTGATAAGTCCGACCAAAGCTGTAGGTGGTAAAAGACTTAATGACATCTGCATAGATTCTTTCAAGGCTTGTAAATCTTCATCTTCCATGCAAGTGTCAACCACATAGAGGAATATCAAAGGCATCTGAGGACCACGCTTTTAAAAAAATTTTGCAATAGGAAGAAAAAAATAAGGTTTTTTTACAGGTATTAACACTTCAGCACAATATATAAAATGGTCAATAGAGGACTTATTAAATAATGCAAACAAAAGAATCTATATATATATATACACACATACACACACACACACACACACACACACACACACACACACACACACATCATTTCAGAAACAGATTATGTGTGCTGTCATGGAGAGATACTCAAGATACATCACTGAATGAAAAATTAAGATTAAGAACATATATTGTTACACAGAGGGAAATTTCACTTTCCATTTTATTTAATGTGAGTGATGTTTCGCTGCTTTTAACAATATTCATTAGTTTTAAAATAAAATGATAACTATAAAGTTTTAAAACAAAGTGAACAAAGTGGGTGATTTTTATAAAAAATAAAATAATTATTGGGGCCAACAGGTGACATGATGGTTGAGGTGCTGGGCACCCACATGACCAACTCTGGTTCGAGTCCCGGTCTTGGCAGCCTGAAAAACTCACTGGGAACATGTGTGTGCCTGCCCAGAATCCTGAGAGAATGGAGGAGAAAGGATTGCAGCATGGCTGTCCACCTGCGGGGTGATTTCTCGCCTTATCTTTCACTGTCTCTGTCTCTCCCCAACTAGTGCACACATCCATGGCAAAAAAAAAAAAAAAAATCTAAGTCTAGATTGGATTTTTAGAAAAACAGAAACTAGCCAGGTGGGACACTGGCTCAAATGAATCATAATTCTGTTTCCTCTACAATATTTGTAAACTATATTATTGTTTCCACATTTAAGTATGTAAATAACCATGTGAAGCTGTTCAGAGAGAGAAAATAATTATTTTCCTAACAAGGACAAACGCAATAATATTTTCATTAATTAGATTTAGGGATAGATCAGCAGACTCCAGCATCATATTAAGTACCTGTGAATGAACTTTTCAATCACAAAGCAAGATCAACGCTTTGACTGTTTACTGATCTCCTCAATATAGTAAATCACACCACCCTACCCAGTATCCTGGTCACCCAGTAACTACGTCAGAGATATAGACCATCTTGCTCAAACTGACTTTGACAGTTCTCACCTCTGAAATGTGTCATTGTTTCAATGTAAAAATTAAGGATGATACCTTTTAAGTCATTACAACTCAGTAATTATTTTGGTATAAAATAATTTAAAACATTCCTAAATTTCTTTTTATGTTCTTACCAGAACTACATATTCAATGCTAGAAAATTGTGGTAAAAGTTCAG